TATGATAACCTTTGACATTGCAACAACAGAAACACTATTTCTTTAAATGTATGTGTAAAAATGTTTGGTATAGGCACATGTCTTCACTGGGACAGTGTGCAGTATAATTAATTTCCCATTAATATCACTTCTAAATTAACAGATTAAATTGCAATAAGCATGACATCTTCAAACTAAGAATGGAATGAAAAACTGAGAATAGCCAGGCTGAATTGAAAATTGTTGAGTTTCTTATAGATGGGCTTCACTGTTGAACCAATAAAAAAGTCAAAATTTTAGTTATAACAACCTCTACAACAGAGAAATTTACTCGTTCCCACTAACCACGCACAATTTTAACACTGCTTTTGAGGAAAAGAAACTTAACAATTATTGTGTTACTGTTTCGAACGTTTCACTTTGGCTAGTTACAAACTCCGACCTGTGTGGCAATTTTTTCCTATCTTTTTTCTATTAGAAATGTCATGCTGACTGCAACTGTGAGGTTCAGTTAAAATACATGTAATAAAACTACTTTTAGCGTGCTAAACAGCATGTGGACCCAAGAGGTTGATTTCATCTTTGTTAAATTGTTCCTTAGTTGAATTGAGTTCTTCACTGAATAAAAGAAAATAAAACAGGAAAGTTAGAACACAAATTCCATGTCAAATGCTTTCCTTAACCCTTTAAGCCCCAGTATCCACATACAAATTCTCCAAACTGATCTCCATACATTTCCTTAAAGAATGAGTTGGGAGAATTTGATAAAAGATCAAGGAATTTTTACTTAGGTGATCATTTTATTAATTCTCATACCTAATCTGTTGACAATGTATGGATATTGTTAGGAGAAACTTGATCTTGGTCACTATTGGGACTTAAAGGGTAAATGAGTTTCTGTACAGTAGTGACTGCTCATGTTAGAGGCGTAGGTTCAGGTCAACTGGCCATTCATTTAAAAATGCTATAATTCTTTAGACGTTAGTGTGTTGAAGAGTACCTCTCATATTTATGTTCAGACTAGGGGCAAACATTCTATCATTACTTGTTCAGTAGTGTAGTCATGTAATATTGGGATGGGGGAATGATCAGGGGGCAAAGAAAGTTAGTTTTATAGCTTTCTCTTCCAAGAAGTTGTAGCTAGCATGCACTAGCCAAGAGTCATCATCTTTATTAAATAGCCTTAAAAAAAATTCTTGACCAGCAGGATTGATTACAATTCTTCTGTAATTCGAATGCACCCCCCAAAATTTCACTTGCCCATTGGGGAAGTAAAGAACATCATAATTCACTCATGATAGCCCAACAGCAAAATCCACTAGCCACAGGCTATTGGACATGACTTTCTTTGCAACATGATCATACTTTAATTTGATTTGTAAGAAGTTGAGGACAAAGGCAGACAACATCTCCTAGTTTGGCTGAGATGGTGGGCACTTCATTAAGAGTAGTTTACTAGCATGTGGGTCAAAAAACGTTGAGAAGAAACAGAACAGTGTGCCTGTATTTAATTTTTTGGGGGGGCACTTAAGATCAAGGGTCAGTTGCAACTACTGATAAAGCCAGCTCACGGATGAATAATTTGGATAAGTGTAGAAAAGACAGTTCAATAGTCAACAAGACCCCCATAGTGGGGGTGCATTGGTCCACCGGCGTACGTGACTATTAATTTGTTAGTCTGGTCTGTATAGTAACTTTTACCAGTGAACAAAAAAAGGCAAGTTAAAGTCTTTTGAAACAAGAAACAATAATGTGCCTAGTTTGATCTAACCAGAAATTCCAAACATTAATGTCATTGTGCCCTTACAAAATGTGACAGGGACAACTTTTGGCATTCTAAAATGGGTGAAAAGAAAGTCAGTTTTACACATTGCCATTTGGGCAAGCTGTGGTTAGCATGCACTAGCCCAAAAGTCATTTTAACAAGCCCGATGATGAGCAGGGTTGATAACAGTTCTTTTGTGATTAGAATTCCTTAAAAAAGTTTACTTGCCAGGTGGGCAAGTTCAGAAAAGAATTCACTAGCCCGATAGTAAAATCCACTAGCCCCAGGCTATCGGACACAACTTTCTTTGCACGCTGGTAGCAGTAATTTTTTACTTCTTAAAACTCACGAAGCAGATTAAGTTTTAGTTTTGTCTCTGTCTTATATTGTATTAAAATCCCTTCTGACTATTCAGGTGAATATGCTTCTATTTGACAGGGGGATCTACAAATAACACCTCCTTTCTTCTAAGGAGTGACCTTGCAGACGAGGGGAGAGAATTGAAATAACATCAGGGAGAAATTTGCTCTCACATTTTGGGAGACAAAGCACTTAGGGTTCTTTGGCTTATTCATGCTTTTCACTGAACAAACTACCCTCTTCCGGCCGCAATTACACAATCATAGCTCTTTCACACTCAATTGATCGCTTCTACTCCATGTTATCAGCCAAAAACTGATGTAAGCCTTTCTAGTGCTAGAATCTGCCAAACATATGCGCATAAAGCACTTTGAACAATAGCAATGCTTAGTAGGGGAGGTAGGAGTAAATCATTTAATCCACGTTTAATGAATAAATTAATGAGAGTTGAGTTGAGTGACTGATTGTGTGCCATTCGAGTGCCTCCAAAAGCTCATGGAATGACTACGTCATCCATGAGCTAAAAACAATTCCCAAGTGTAGAATTCCCCTTTTGGCGTCAGTTGTAACTCTAGCTACGTGACGTTTCAACACCAGGCATTGCAATTTGCTTGTTTTGAGTTGAGTTTCAGAGATCTACATGTATGTAATATGCAACTGAAATAAATGTTCACACGTTTCATTGTACTTACATTTCTTGAACGCTGTCATTATCCTTATCAGATGAATGTTTGCTGGAAGCTAATGGCTCACCATACGCTACATAACTTCCCACTGCATATGAGGAAAAACACCTAAATGCACGGAACATATACATTTGTGTTAAAAAAGAAAGAAATGGGGCACAAAAATTATTCTGCCTGATATTTCAACTACATGTAAATACATGTACAAGTAATAATATTAAAAGCTTTATACCTGTTGGCAACATTGAGTGTGGAGGGTAAAAACTGGCTTTACGTCATTTGCCGTTTGCATTTAATATTAATTTTGTGCAATATTATTATTATTGCTGGCCAAGTTTCACCATGTTCAAAATATTGTCGTGATGAGCATTTCCACGGTCGGGGGATGAAACTATCCAGGTAAATGGCTCAAATAATCTCCTTTGTGTATACCAAATTCAGTAACGATCAGAAGTAATGCCAATTTTTGATAATTTTTTATTTTGATCTCTAGAGATTAATAATTTTAATTTTATAGTGCCCGGGGAAAATGAGTTACACCTGGGTTTTGGGACCAAGAAAACGTGTCCCTTTCCCCTGAATAGAGGTGTCCCTTTTATAGAGGCAACAGATACAAAGATAATAGGAACATTGCTCCGAGACCAAATTTTGGGTCCCCTGAACAGGGATGTTGCTAAGAGCCGGCTGCCGGCTAATTTCTCTGGCTGAAAAAGAGCTTATCACCAGCTCAAATTGAAAGGAAAACAAAGCTGTGTGGGAATTTTAGAGACGTAGATGAGTAAAACAGCCGACTTGACTACCATAACAAAAAAGCTCGCTTATCATTTTCTTAGCTACATCCCTGTCTGAATGGAGGGGTCCCAAAGGAGAGGTTCCAATGTATTATTTTTGTTGAGGAAAGAGAACCTGAGCCTGGTAAGAATGCAGATTTGCCTGAGTATTGTAGTGTGGGAGTTTACCAAACTGAAATACATTCATGTATGAGTCAATGCCTCTTAATAGACATACAAGTAATACACAAATTTGATGGAGAAGCATTCGTACCTTCTCTGCCTCTGATGACGAAGGAAAACTAAACACATCAAAAATGGTACCACGACAATAAGAACAAATGAAGCAGTGACTAATGACCCAATCATCAAAGGATCCAGCCTTCTCTCACGACGAGACACCTTTCCACCTTCATAGCCACCTTTTTCTGCCACTCCCACTGTTTTCGCTGATGGCACAGACCCTGATAACGAAGGTCCAGTTGTCACACTGACATTTCTTGGGGCATGAGTTGGTATTCTCACTACTGTCCTGTTTTGTGTGAGGACAATGTTTGGAACTGTGGCTGTGGTCTGCAAAGAATCTATGAAAATTAAGATAATTATGTTAAAGTGATTCACTAATAATTATGACTCATGTTAACAAAGTTGCAAATAACACACAGTGCAAAGGGTAATGCAACTGTTCAAAACTCTCAAGGAGACATAGTAAACATGTTACCTGGGGGACTGGAAGTGGACAATATTTCACCAGAATTGCTACTATTTTGTTTATCAGGTTTTGTAGGGGCTATACTTGTTGGAGTGGTACTAACAGCAACTGAAGAATTTTCAGCAACTGTAACTGAAAAGAATAGAATAAAGAATTATTGTAAGTTAAGTTAAGAGATAAAAAGTAATAATAAAACTGAATAATAACAATAATATGCTATCAAACTCCTAATATACATGTACATGTACATAATTCCCTGAAATTTTAGGATGCCTTCATAAAGCAATGATATACAGGGTGTATAGATCTTCATATTGAGGTTCCTGCCTCGCCCTTTGCTAAAATACATAATTATTGAAATGCACGAAAATTTTTGGATACACATGTTTGACACTGCATGTAGGGTGTGAGTGGTGGGGGAGGGGTTGGGCATGTGAAATAAAAATGGCGCCATAAATGGAAATTTGTCTGAAAAAAACGTGTAACCTGAGACATGTTACATGTACCTAAAACATATACACTATATGTATACAGGACTTTACCAAGACAGACTAAGCCTGGTTACTAACAATGCACAATGTGTATCCTTTATGTATAGCTGACATGAAGCAATTTTTGGCAATGAAAAAGGATAAAATAACATGTCTTAAAACCAAAATAATTCAAAATACAACTTACGATTACTGCAACCATACAGCTCCATTCTTAAACAGATGTTGTAATTAAACCTCATTGGATAAACTCTAACATGTCGAGCAGATATGGGTACAGGAAAGGTATTCTTTACCACTTTCTGAGACTCCGAATTTGCTGTAAACACCTGTGGTAAAAAATAGGTAGAGATTGCAATCAATCAGTCATGGAACTGAAATGTAAAACATATCTGCCAGTTAGTCATATATAAAAAAAAAATGGAATTTCTACAAAATATCTGATCATCACCCACTGCCCTCCAGTTATGAGAATGCGGGTCTGCTGAGCAGGAGGCCGTGAGTTCAAACCCAAGATGGACCACCAACCACTGGTAAGATCATGCTAGTGTGATTAAAACCCATTCTCAATTTAAATAATCACATCATTGGCAATGATGTTTATAGCTGTTCCTGTCTTCTTCATCCTTACACATCAATTGAAAGGGGATGTAAAAGAACCTGTGAAATTGTTCAATTGTACATTCTTAAGAGTAGGGAATGTAGATGTACTAAAGGCCCCTGTTCAGTGTTCTCCTTATCAGGCGGTAACCGTTAAAATTTACCACCTGAAGTAATACCTCTTACCGCCTAAAGGTTTACTAAAATTTACGAAGAAGTGTTAAAAAATCACAAGGGAGTTGTGATCTGATCCCATTCTCACAAGTAAATGAATGAATATATGGAAAATTACTTAAGTATACACAGCTCTTTTTTTATGGGCCACGTGTTTTGGAAAGAGCGCATTGAAGACGGAGTAAAATTATTGGAATCAAACATTTTAAATTGTTGTATAAAGGAAACAACGGCCAATTTGCTTAAAATAAAGGGAATGACCTTTCACAGAACTTAGCTCCAAAATTTTGCAGCAAGGGCCTAGCCATGTCCCTCACTCTACTACCCCCCCTCCTCCCCATTAAAGTGTACCTCTGGCACATATCCTGTGCCTTACCGGCCATGAATCGTCGCTTACCTGCTGAGCTAAAATTTAGGGAGAATAATGCCTGTTTCATGGCCTATCTTAATTCTGACTTAAGCTGTCATTGGTTTGGGTGGGAGAGGTGAGATCAAACATACACTGAAGCGACTGCACGGTGCGCCTTTACATGCTGATGTCCGATCTCATCTCTCTGGTTCCTAGGCAATTCAGCCACTGGCTGCAAGAGAGGGAAAATTGACACCTTTTTATTTTTATTACATTGTTTACATTGTTTGATGCCGCTCTTGCTAGTAAGTGATTTTAGTGGGATAATTAAACCTTTTATAACCCAGTCCTTGTGTCTCACTAATTGACATCAACCAGTTCATGTATTCAAGCTGCTACCAATTCCACGCTCTTGCTCTCAAATATGGTTAACTTTTCCACAGCACATATCAGTACCTGTTTAAATACCCGTCATTCAATTGCTGATAGCTCCTTCCATGACTTATTGTGTTGTTGATGATTAGTAGAAAAAAAAAATTGTTTATTTCCAGCACATTACATAAAATCTCAATGCTCTTACAATTAATACTGTTACACTTTATACTACTAATACTGTAGACATATTTTCTTTGAAGTTGAACAAAGTGAAAAAGGGGACATAAAATAAAAAATTAGGAATTGGCTCTTGCACAGCTTACCCTCTTAATCCTATGCCATTTAGCTCCATCTCTGCTGTAAACAACTCTAAACGTTTTGACAAAATAGTCATTGACGCCTGAAAATCCTTGTGTTGCAATTCCAGTTAAAATAAGAGTTTGAGTTAAGTCCACTTGAATATGATGATTCCTGCCACCGCTGGCACACCATGCACGTGCGTTGTACAGGCGAGAATATTGTGGTTTTGTGTGGACTGTCTTCCCACTTCCAATATATAAATTCTCATAGAATGAAGAAGCTGAAAGCTGAGAATCAAGTACTCTCCCATCTTGTAAACCTACTGCTCTTTTGCATTCTGTGAAAAACAAAGCAGCAACTAATATGTTAAGTCATACAAAACTAAACATCACACAATCATTTGCCATGACTCTTTCTTTCTTGTCACACTACATGAATAGAAGGCCAACAAATTGCGACTTGACCCACATTTAGAGTGCAATAATCCATTCTCAGATTAAACAGGATTCAACCTGTAGTTTGTTCAGAAATTCCTTTCTTTCCTAGGCCTGATTAGAGACAAAGAATATTCTGATTTATTATAACCAGGAAATAGCCATTATGTATGTTTATGTCAGACGAGTAAATTTCACCACCAAGTCTCTTGTTCAAAATATAAAGTTGCAAGGTGTTACATAAATGAATTCCCAAGGCAGTACAGTTGAAAAGAATACAATGTACCCATGCACAAAGAGTGCAAATGCTAAGAACTTTGCTTACAAACAGGGCTTGGTGGTGAAATGTGCTCGTCTGACGTAACCATGCATAAGGGCCATTGATTTTATCCACAACACGTACATACATGCATACATGTATGTGGGTACCAAGGAGTTTTCAATGTTATATTTTTCACTTACATTGTACAGTTGTACTTTCACACACAAAAAATGAAAATGTGATGTTACAGGTTTCACATAATATTAATTTTAAAAAGACAAAAAACCTGGGCTCTTATGCTAAAATTTTTTTTTCTTGTCTAAAGTGACTGAATTTCGTAATTTACTCTTCCTGTTCTTCAAGCATTTAGATGTTATTGCCAAATATCAAACACAATACGTGCACACTGTATATTGGCTCAGAATTTTTTCCCTTAATTTGCAACACTCCTTATCATAAAGTGGAGCTGACCAAAGTATACAATGTAACAGCAGTATACTCACTGTCCTTTGTTTTCTTAATCTATCTTTCATTCATCCTTTTGACTGTTAGTAAAGATATATCAACAACAGATATTGACACGGCTGAAGGTGGAAATTTATTTGCTAATTATGCTTTTGGAACTAAAGCTCTGTTAGACTTTAGTAGCATACATCATGTAAATGCATAAGGAACTTTTGTAATGCCAACGCAGGATCTTCAAAATAGTGTGCTGCAACCATTAAACAAGAAACTTGATGCCAGCATTTGGCTGTCTTTGTTGAGTTCAAATATGCCTTATGTTTAGAAATTTTCAATCAGTTATATTTCGGAGATAAAGAATTTGAGGCTAAAGAAAACAAAAATAGAGCTGGATTTAGAGAAAAACTTGAACTTAACTTCCTGCACACAGTGCATGCTACATGACTTTGTACATGACAATCATGGATGTGTTAACTGTAACACTATGCCGTAAAATAAATTTTCTAGAAAAAAAATCTTTTTCATCCCCCTTGTATTGGTTTGAATTTCTTTAAACAATTAGCTCTAAAAATCAAAGTTTTGAACAGGAAGTACCTAAACGTAGTTTAATATACTGCTTACAGATATCAAACATCGTTTTGCTAGAGAATCCCTTCCTTCACAGATGGTCAGCAGAATCCAGTGTCTCTGGCCACTGGATAGAGTTTTGTCAAAAATATTTCAATAAAAAAAGCCATGACCTTTCCTAAAACACATGTTTTTGGATACTCTGATGTTCCTGTTATTTCCATCTCTGTATCTGGCATGAATAAAAATGATCAGACCGAACACAAACTGGCATCTCACGAATGTGACTAACTTTTGTCACAAGATTGGAATGAGAAGAGTACAAAGATATGTTTTGACAAAGAATACATGTAAAATCACATCCATAAAGGGGCTACCAGCTACTCAAATTAGGGTTTCAGTATTGCTTTCACATGTATCGTTAACATCTATGGTTTAAATTTCTCATAGAATTCAACATATGAAAATAAAACAAAAAAGAAAGCTATTATTTGGATTGGAGGCACCTTATTTGGACAGTTTTTATTTTTTCAAAAAATCTGCTGTTTCTATTACAACTAGGCTCTTTGCCCTGACTCACAGTGTTCAATTTTCAAGGAAGATGGAGAACTAACTTACACATCTATGAAGGCACATACAGTGTACAAGTGGCTGGCCAATCTACATATTTGTGACCCAAATAAGACAGGAGTACACTCTCTTCTTCACTTTTGTCTCAGCTTGTTCTCTTTGTTTAACCTAAGAGTTCTGATTGTTAAGACTGGCATGTCACTTCCACGTTTGCCCAAACCAAGTCCAAATATTAATATTTAAAAAGAATTCTGAATCTTAAATTGTAAAATTTAGCACAGCAGACAATACCGTGAAAAAATATCGCCAGAGCAATTTCAATTGAATGGTCACATGTTAGGACTTTATCCCAGAGGCTCGAAAGTTAAACGTCTTTAAGGGGATTGGAATACATTGATAAGATTAATAGTAAACAAATAGCACATGTTATTTCAGCTACAAATACAATTGATTCATTTGCTAATAAAACCTATTAAAACGGAATTGTTAGTTAAAAACAATTCTACAGTATTTCGTTTTTACTAAAACAGCACGAGAGGACTTGATTTCGACCGGTAAATGCATGTACCCACATGTACACAGCATAGCTTATCTCCGACAACTAAAAATCCACACGACAAACGTAAAATCTACACTAATGTATTTCTTGTCTAAATCTGTAAGACTTGATAAGTCAAAGCTTCAGTAAAAAATAAGTGTTAACAGTGTATAAGGTTAACAGAAAACGAAGAACTAGCGAGCTGATACTTTGCTCCTACACCTCAGTGAGGCTCACGCGCGGGAATCTCATGCTAGACGCTTCACAATCTAAATCATGTTTGATGGTCAAAGTACTGACATTCTATGCACTTTAAATGTGAGTAAAGCTTGAAAAATATAAAATGATTCATGATTTTCCTTTGGATCCAGAGGGAGACTAACAATAGGTTAGTTGCATCATAACTTTATAAAGAAAATGGCGAACAAAAGTTCAATATATTAAATCTAGCTCCACAGTAACACTAGCTCTTGTGAGAGTAGAAGAGCTGCCCAAGTTGGGGATTACAGAAATCAAGTTTCCATTCAATAGACTCACCATCTAACCAACTTGATCCTAATACGCTCTGGAAAGAGACAGAAAGTAGAAAAAACAACAAGGAATCCG